TTTATCCTATATACAAATCTTAGATACAGCTGTGAGAATGACTGTACAACAATTGGTAAACAATTTCTATGCAATTCCTTTTTACATATATTGAAAACGAACTAATATGCAAATTTCTCTTGCATCTATGAAATTACTGTCAGCTTTGTAAAAACCTTATAGGGAGCTATTCTCATATTGTAATCCACACTCATTTGTTTTCAATATAAAAGGATTCATTGTTGACTCACTAAAAAAGAGATACGCATCCATCTCTGCAAGGGAATTTTAAATCACCGATCCAATTTGTTATTCTGCTCCGTTATTGTTTTACTCCCTCAAAATTCATTTCAATCTATTCCTCGGGACTGAAGTGACGATTGTATCTCATTCGCGTTAATTTCTATTTTGTTAACAAGGACTAGCTGTATTCCTGATATTCTGCTACATCAAAAGAACCAATATATCTTAATCCATCCATTGATAATTCAATTTTAACAAAACAGTTTCTCGTAACTAAGTGTGAGGTAGCTTTCTTTTAATAAAGGAAGCATCGAGTTGTTACGAAAGGAGAAAACCAAATTTTTCGCAACAGTATAAGGCAGGTGAATAGGTCCAGATGATTGATGTATTGCTAACAGTTAAGGCTTTCGAAGCTATGTTGTTGGCAGTGAAGGGTTTAAACAGTTATTAAATACCGGTAGGCCAGGAATTGAAGAATAACTCTTACGTTCATTTATGGGGAGCAGGGAAAAGATGAATTATAAGAGAAATGAAGGTCTCCAGTTATATAAATGATTGCAAGGCGTGCTTTGTATGGGTTAAAGCTCCATTTTGTTTCTCTCGCTAATGCTTGAGCACAGTAAGAGTACATTCAGTGTAGCAGTTCAGAAGCCATATAAACTTAAGGGAATTGCACTTCACCAGTATCATTTCATATTTCACGTACTTCAGCTTCCTTGGCTTAAGAGAACGACCATATTTGCTGATGTTCCGTCCTTGATACTATCCCAATCTGGCTAATTCCTGTCTGCAACTAATTCTCGCATGTTTTGTCAAGATTTTTTACCCGTTTATTTGATTAATTTTAACTACCGACTAGTATCGATATACATTTGTATGGAAATGACCAGTTACACATAACTTATGCTGGTTTACGGTCTGATCATGATACTGATTATCGCAGGAAAATTTAGTCATGACAGATTGAAACTGTCATTTGAAACTTCCGGATCCATACAATACCATTCGGCACCGCACATTACGTACCAACCTATGCGAAATATTATAACTTCCCAAAAACACATTTAAAATATTGCTAATTTGCAAAAAAAACCTCCCCGAGTATAGAATCTTCCACAAAATTGACCAACCTACAAATCTATCGAATATGGATGGAGCCTAGGTTCTCTCGATTGGGATTAGAGCCGATTTGGGTCTAAATCACAGTGGAAGTTAGAAAACAACACTATTGCTTCCCACAACCTGACTAAGGAACCATATTTCCTCCACATTTGTTTGCCTTAATGAAAAAAAAACCTTGAGTGCTGGAGATGAGAGTCACCGTCCCACTGAAAAAAATGATTTAGAAATTACTGGTAAACAATATTATATAATACTTTTATGTCAAAACACGTGTCAAAACAGTCGAAAATAAATAAATAAAACGACGTAATAACAGTAATACAAATCATTTCGAAAACAGCTCAATCAACATGAACAAAAAAACATGAATATAAGAAAACATACTACTAAAAAACAATAGTAGCAGTACTCCACGGGTAGTAAGGATCAAGAGTACAATCCACAGAAACACCATTCAACAGAGTAGAAATCGTGAGGACGATCCATGGAAAAGTAAAATTATGCAGTCTTGACTAGTTCCAAGTTTAAAAATACGCGAAGACAATTGGACACTTTGTTTCGACACTCGCATGATGAAACCAATAGCTTTTTGCAATTG